TTATTTTGGACGAATTAAATCATAACCAAGCATTGCGTTACATTTTAAGTTTTACAGTTCTATTATAAATTTTAGAAAATGTATTATATACAACGAAAAAAACAAGTTTCTAAAAAATGATATATTAAGGCATAAAAAGTAAAAATAATTTACTTTTATATTATTAAAATAATATCGTACTTTATTCTTTTAATCGTTAGTCTTTCTCTCTTTACTTTTACTCTTTGGATAGAAAATTCGTCAAATGCTCGCTCATTGGTTCTAAGAATTGTGGTGGGGATGCAGCGGAATCTCGAGCGCGCAAAACCAGTCGTCTCAGCCGCCGAACATCACATTTCGTCTGCAGCTTTGATACGAGCAACTTCTTCGTTATTCACAGTAATCATACTCATTACATTGTTCCGGAGACTCGGATAGTCGTATACATTTATACTTAGTATATTGTTTGCATGAACGTTCTGTTCGTTTCTATGACAACAATTTTCAACACGTAAGCACATATTTATTTGGCGCATATTCAGTTCTCTATTATTGTAACTTATGGGGTGGCGTAAGGTATTAAATTTTTTTTTATTTAACTAAATGCATATTATTTCAAGAATACTGTGTCAAAATTTCAAGTCGATTGGTGCAAAATTGACGAAGTTATGAGTACTTTTATACCTGTCAGATTTTTATTCCTACCTGACCCGAGCGGGGTGAAGAAAAAAAATTATACAAAATGTACATGGACATAGATTAAATGTTGCCATGTATTTCTCTGCAGCGCGAGGTGGGGATATTATTTCTGCTCTGTTCGCGCAGCTAACCTCGGCTTCCCTCGGCTTCTTTCGTTTAGCCGACACACCAACACGTAACATTTCGTTGTGTACGAGGCGTGCTGGGCTCGAGGAAAGGAGAAAAAGAAATATTCTACAATCTGGCTTCACTGTTTTTTATATGAGCCGTTTAGTGCACACATCGATTAACTCCATAAAACCAAATGTTGAGAAATGCGATGAAATTGTGTCTGAAATACATTACTTATTATTCAATGGCCAAAAAAATTTTGCCGTTTAATGGTGTTAATCTTTATTATTCAGGAAAGTTATTATAAATATAAAAAGTTATGATTATACCAAATGCTTTGATACTTAAATTTAAGATTTTTCAAAAAGTGGAGTTAATCGATGTGTGCACCGAACAGTTCATATAATACCTAATCTTACCCCTCAGTTCTATTTATAGAAATTTCAACGCAAGTACAAACGTTTTTATACCTGTACTGTATATTTTGTCAGTGTAGAGTATAAAATTTAGTGTAGCAGTAAATATTCCATCGAGCAGATGTACACGCGCGTTCCTATTTTCGCATCATTTTAGCTCCGTTTTCATTAAGTTTTGTGTTAAATTATTGCAAAAATGTCTAAAAAAATTATAAGATCTGATAGACAATTAACTGGTTCGAGATTATGTCAACCTAACAAAATTGTACCTTCGATTAAACGTGAAAGCGAAGACATTTCAACAAGTAGCGCGTCAGCTAAAAAAGTAAAAGTGACCGTTGAAGATCAAGTTACGGTGGATCTTAAAAAACATTATAGGATAATCGATTTTTCATTAGTCTTTTCAACAATTGCTACGCTAGTGAAGTGTGTAAAATGTGATGGAAAAGTAAATTTTCATTCGACTAAGAAAGAAGGTCTTGCATTTAACATCGAAGTGTCGTGCGAAAGCTGTAAACAGATTACAAATGTTCCGTCTAGTGCAAGAGTAAACTCTGGTATTTACGAAGTTAATTATCGGTTTGTTTTCGTGATGAGGATATTAGGCCTTGGATTAGTTGGCTGTGAAAAGTTCTGCGGCTTGATGGACTTGTCTAGTTCGTTTTTATCAAGACCGACGTATAATGATTACGTGAAAAAAATGTGCTCGACTGTGAAAGAAGTAGCGAATCGATTTTTTTTATCTGCTACAAAAGAAGAAAAAGCAGCAACAACCGAAGAGAAAAAAACTGAAGATGCTAACGAACTCAATGTATCAGGCGACATAACATGGAAAAAAGGAGGCTTCTCATCTTTATTCGGCGTCACTTCGTTAATCGGTTACTTTACAGGTAAAGTTCTTGACATTTACATCCAAAGTTCATACTGCCATGAATGTAAAACTTGGGAATATAAATTAAACTCTGCCGAATACGAAGAATGGCATGAAGCTCATATAAATGCTGGAAAGTGTCGGGCAAATCATACTGGTGCAGTTGGAAATATGAAAGTCGAAGCGATAAAAACCATGTTTCAACGCTCGGTAAAGAATGGTGTACGATATCGCAACTATATCAGCGACGGTGACTCTAAAGTTTACTCCGGGTTAGTGAATTCTAAACCTTATGGTGATGATTTTTCAATAGTGAAAAAAGAATGTGTAGAACATCTTCAAAAAATAATGGGCACTCGTCTACGTGAAATAGTCAAAAAGACCGTTGTAGATACTGAAACTAAGGCTGGAAAGAAGATCAAAAGAAAGAATCTTTCTGGTAAAGAGAAGCTTACGGCCAAAATTATTGATAAACTGACGGTATACTACGGTTTGGTTATTAGACGTTACTCTGATTCCGTGGAAAATATGAAGAATGCTATCTGGGCAACGTTCTTTCACTACAGTTCGACGGACGAGAATCCACAGCATAAAAAATGTCCGAGCGGTGCGGACTCCTGGTGCGAATGGCAAAAAGCTGCAGCTGCTAATGCATTGGATTCGTTCAGACACACATACAGTGCTCTTCCCAAGGATGTTTTGGATGCCATTAAGCCTATCTATGAAGATCTGAGCAAAGATGCCCTCCTGGAGCGATGTGTCGGAGGCTTCACGCAAAAAAACAATAAGAGTTTGAATCAACTTATTTGGAGAATCTCACCAAAGTACTTGAGTGGAGCTTTTGTCATCGTTGAAATTGCAGCTTATGTGGCAGCCAGTGTCTTCAATGAAGGTTCTTTTGCTTTACTAACCTTCATGCAAGACATGGGAATCAGTAGTGGATCAAGTGCTCATGACTGGGCGCGATCAACTGACTCCATACGTATAAGCCGAGCAGAACAGGAAGCTGAAAGACAAACTAAAGAAGGCAGGATTCGTCATAGACAGAAGCAAAAAGGTGCTTTAGTCATCATGGATGATAGTAACATCCTTTATGGATCTGGTATTGATGATTCAGTGTGAGGTATGCCGATAAAATTTACTTATGAACGTTTTATATCAGATTTTTTAGTGTTCAAAACTTTAAAGCGTTTTCCCCACAACTCACGTTTTCAAAGTCGGTACCCCTCATAACTTCAAAACTACTGCACCGATCCTTTTGAAATTTTGAACACTATTCTGTACATAATTTACGAGGTAACGCTGGAGAGTTTTTTTCAAATTTGTTAATATTTTTATTTTACAATAACAAACTAGCCGATTTTTTTCGCAAAAAATCGCGTTTTTCCCTTCAAAGTGTTCCAAAAAAGTGAAAAATTGAAATTTCGAGAAACCCTCCCAGCGTTACCTGGGGAAAACTATTATCTAACGAATGAACTTTGATTTTTTGATTTCATATGATCCAGCACCAAATTATGAGAGGCACCGCAATTCTACTTTTTTCCGAGACGCGTCCGAATAATTGCTGCCATTGCCATATTTTTTAATATTTCGAAGAGCCGCAAAAACCTAAACCATTGCAATTAATTAACAAGTTAATGTTAAAAATGACTAACTACTATGGTTTGGCAATTACAAGAAATGTCCACTCTCTCGAAGACATGAAGAAATCCGTGTGGGCTACGTTTTACCACATGGCATTGACAGATGAAAATCCTAATCACTCTTATTGCTCAGATTCTTGATGCACGTATCTACAACTGAAGGCACAAAATCAGGAGAGTACTTACGAACATTCAGTAACCTTCGACGAACAAACAATAAATTTAATAAAACCAGTGTATGAGACTTTATCGTCTGAGGATTTGTTGAAAAAATGCTTAGGAGGTAATACGCAAAACAATAATGAGGCATTCATTCACAGCGTGTGGAATTTCGCTCCGAAGCATCATTTTACAGGCAAAAACGTTTTAGAAATTGCTACACTCATAGCTGCGTACATCTTTAATGAGGGCCTTCTACCTGTCTTGAAAATTATGGAAGTTATGGGCGTCACAATAGGTCAAACAGCCAGAGATTACGCTGATACCGTCGACAGTGTACGCATTTCAAGGGCGGAGAAAACTGAGCAAGCCAACTCAAAAGAGGCTAGAACATTACGTAGGGCTCTCGAAGCTGCTAAAAATGATGACTATGAGGAATCTGAAGGACTACTCTATGCACCAAGCATAGGTGATTAATGTGTAAGTATCTTTTTCTTATTAAAAATATCTGTTGTTTAAACGCGTTTTTCTCGAAACCACGTTTTCGAAATTTCGGAGAAGCACTGACTAAAAACTATTCAACCGATTTGGCTAAAATTTTAATCCGTTATTCTTAACATATTTATCTAAGTACTGAACCTCTAAAAAATGAAATTTTTAATAATAAATTAATTTTTTTATGCAATTAAAAAAAATTTTCATGTATAAAAATATTCATGGAAAAACGTCGAAATTTTGGGCGTCACACTGGGCTTATACCTTAAATAAGGATTAATTGATAAATATTTAACTGGTATATAAGTCTAAATTAATATTTTATTTTGTTTACAGGAACTTATTCCGAGTGATTTTCATTAAACAAAACAAATAACTGGACGTGGAAAGGGTGGAAAGGGATTGGGAAAGGGAGGTGCTAAGCGTCACAGGAAGGTTCTTCGTGATAATATCCAAGGTATTACTAAGCCTGCGATTCGTCGTTTGGCTCGTCGTGGTGGTGTAAAACGTATCTCTGGATTGATTTACGAAGAAACTCGAGGTGTATTGAAAGTCTTCCTAGAAAACGTTATTCGTGATGCAGTAACTTATACTGAACATGSTAAAAGAAAGACTGTCACGGCTATGRATGTCGTGTATGCATTGAAACGMCAAGGACGTACTCTTTATGGTTTTGGAGGKTAATTTGTCAGAAGTGCATAAAATCAGCAGTGTTTGGTCATCATCTCATTTTAAAAAAACCGTTAAAACGGCCCTTTTCAGGGCCACTAAATTTTTCAACGATAACGAACAAATTCATCTCTTTATCTCATATAATTATCTAATTATTTATTAAAGAATCATCTTAAAATATATGAACAAACTGAAATAACAGGATGGCAACGCTCGGTGATTCTCTCATCGATGTTTCGTCTATTCAATGTTACCCCAAAGCTCTCACTAGTTATCCTCTTCCTATCTCTTTGATGGTCATCTCGGTAAAACATTTTATGTACGAAAAAGACGTGCTATGACTAAAATAAACTAAAACCAAGGTTCTTATGATTTAAACAATAAAACAGCCTATCCTTTGTCATAGTTTATTACATTATTATTCTCGAAGTTAGTTGAAAGAAGGTACAACACTCTGTTGCTAGAAGTGGCAACATTGCTTATAGAATGTTATGATTTATATCACACTGAAAACACTGTTGCCATTTAGGGATTGATGATGCTGTGCAAAACGCTTGTTTTATTCTGGTTCTAACTCATCAACAAGATATAATGAATTGATTTTGTCCCTTTGAAAAGAAATTTATTTAAGTTTACTTGTATGTTTGAATGAATCCTCTTGTATCTTGCTTTGCGAAGACACAACCTCTATACTTTACTTTTTTTCTCTATTAATATATAATAAAATGAATAAAGTAATAGAAAAAATGCTATGTTTCATCTTTGAATAAAATTTACATTTTTTTTTAACCTTTTTATTGCCTCGTCCATAATGCATTTTACAAAAAGATTCTGTTAAGAGTTAACCTTATATATTTTTGATCGATTTACAGAAGATAGAAGAAAATGTAGACCGTCGTGCTATAATACTTTTGTTTAGTACTGTATGCACATACTATAAAAAATTGTCGATATCTCTGTCACGTGATATCTTTGTATTCCCATAGCCCGACATTTTTTTATCTTAAACCATTGTTCATTGATTTGGCCAATGCCCTTTGTCTGATAGTCATTTTATGTTTTCTTAGTAAATTTATAAATAATTAAACTATAGTAGAGTCATTTTACTGAACCTTAACATTAGTTATACCACCATTTTCTGTATACCTATTTCTACTACACTAATCAAAATAACTTCTGTATAAAAAAAATGCTTTTTGCAGCTTCTAGTCTTTATGTACTCTTAAAAAAATAACAAAAAATGTTTAACAAAAATTTTAATAGATAAATGAATTTATAGATATTTGTAAATGTTACATGAAGAAAAAATTTTGAATTAAAATGGCCCGGCTAATCAAAATGATTGATCTGGTATATCTAGTGTTAAGTCCGTTGTTAAGTTCCTCTTTATTCTATCCTAAAATCTTCGAAAATGTTCGTGCCGCCATTTTCTCTCAAGCATTCTTAATATTTTTCACTTTTTTTTCGTAGAAACTGTTCGAAAAAATATTTATTGTATATATGTAGCCCTCTTACAACATGGCGTCTTATAACACGGTTTCTCTATAACACGATCCATACAAATACTACAATTTATGGATCGTGTAACACGGTTTCCTTTCAAAAAAAACCTTTGTACAACACTGTACTTCTACAACTGCTGCGAGACTTGTGATACAGTGTTGAGGAAAGTATTTCTTTTCATCTTCATGGCCTGAAAACAAAAGTTTTTGGCTCATGATTCTGGGTTTTCATACAACACGACATTTTTTATTAACCTATTTACCGTTTTATAGGGTGGTTACCTGTACTTTATATATATTATTCCTAAAGATATTTTTAAAAAGATATATATATGTACATGCAATGACCCTTATATTAGATGCTAAAAATATTCGTTATTTAAGAAAAAAAAAAAAAAACGATAAAGATTTATATATTTTTTTCATCACATTTTCCTTTAATTACTATTTATCATGATTTATTAAGCAATACAAATTATAAAATTGTATATATATTTAATAATAATACGTACATTTTAATAGAACAGTTAGTATTTCTCGATTTCAGTAGTATTTCGTTTAACTTGACGCGGATTGGTCGAGAAAATTGGGTGGGGGAAGTTACGACAAGCTACACGAAGGAAAGAAGTTCACAAAGATTGAAACTTTTGATTGAATTGAAAGAAAATAATCACAATTATAAATGTTTTATAGTATATATATTTATATATGCATTGAATCTATACATTAATACATGCTTTATTAATTTAGTAATCAAATTAATAAGAGTTTAAAGAAAATAAACAACAATTCGATTTTAATTACATTCAGTTACTTAACATCTTACAATTGGATAAAAGTTTTTTGTTAACGCCATTTTGAAGATATTTTTAATGTTCTTGAATAGATTTAATTCTATATTTTCAACTTAGATCTTTTTAAGTTGAATCATTTCATATTTGCTTGTTCGTACCATTAGTTATAAAACATCTTGTGTGTGTAACTATATGTTACTTATCTATGTAATTTGTAAATCAAAAAATTGAACATTTTCTGAGAACTTTCTAGTTGTTTAAGAGTTTTCTAAATAATTCTGAGAGATAAAAAAAATTGCTATTATATATAAATAATAATAACATAGTCATTTAGTAATATATAATAATCTATAGTCCATTAAATATAGTCATTTATTTGCCATTATTCATTATCTGTTGAAATTTCAAGAATTTTTCCAATACTTTAAATACATCTGATAAAGTAAACTTTAATCTTTAATTGTTTACTCAACCAATGTTATTGTCTTGTATACAAAGTTCTTATACGATATGAGAAAATAATACAAATATAGGTTGAATCTAAACTTGAAAAGCAATAATCCTAATTTGAAAGTATATGCCCTCCTATAACACGGCATTTTATAATACGGTTTTATTTCAAAAAAACCTGTACAACACTGCTCTTCAACAGCCGCAGCGAGACTTGCCGTCTTAAAGATACAGTAGTGAGGAAAGTAATTCTTTTCATCTTTATGGCCTGAAAACGTGGTTGGTTTTGCCTCATGGCTCTGGGTCTTATACAACACGGCATTTTCTAGGAAGCTATCTACACCATGTTATAGGAAGATTATCTGTATTTGATTTTTACATCATACGACTTTTTCGTAATTTTATATTTGTAGCCTATGACCGTTTTTATTTTACAGAAATAATTATTAACTGCTTAATTTATAATAGTAATGTTAAATAATTATTTTATAATTTTTCTTCAAATATATACATGATATATATGAATTCTTTATCGAAGCTATTTCAACAAAAATTTTCGAAAAATATTTAATTTATTTCGAGATACGTATTAGTCATGTTAGTAAAGTGCTGCTCCCTCTCATAGAATTCAAGTACTATTCAGCACGTTATATGGTTTAAATTTGTAAAGTAAAATTTTAACGATCAAAACTTTATTTTAAATTTTTATCTATATGAATAAGAATATACATAAAGATTTTCTTTTTCTTATATTATTTAAGCATCCCTAAATATTTATTTCAAATTTCTAACGTATTTGTAACTTTAGCATTTTATATTCTTACTTCCTAATAATGTATTTTATATTGAATAAATTTATTTTGGTGAGAAATATAAGGTAAATATTATATAGTTTAATATTTTATGTAGAGAATTATATGCCCAACGAAAATAAATGATTTGTGGCCCTAAAAAGGGCCGTTCGAATGTTGATACATCAGCTTACTTGGAGCTGGTGTATTTAGTTACGGCTTTAGTGCCTTCACTAACAGCGTGTTTTGCGAGTTCACCTGGAAGCAACAGACGAACTGCAGTCTGAATTTCCCGAGATGTTATAGTTGATCGTTTATTGTAATGAGCTAAACGAGAAGCTTCAGCAGCAATACGCTCAAAGACATCATTAACAAAACTGTTCATGATGCTCATGGCTTTGCTGGAAATTCCAGTATCAGGATGTACTTGCTTCAAGACTTTGTAAATGTAAATTGCGTAACTTTCCTTCCTTTTCCTCTTCTTCTTCTTGTCGGTCTTAGCAATGTTCTTCTGTGCTTTACCGGCTTTCTTAACTGCTTTTCCACTTGCTTTAGGCGGCATCTTGATTCACTTTTTCTTGGTCAGTAGTCTGATCGTCGAAGAAGTCCAATGCGTTATGATTCTAGTCGCTTAAGCGCTTCCTTATATACGCGTCAGCTACTCCCGCCGCTGACCAATCACAGCGCTGCACTCGACCAGCGCCCCTTCTAGCGTTCCTATTGGTCCGTCGTCAGAGTGGTGGAAATGTATATAAGCGCGCGTCTAACCACGCAGAGTCAGACTATCGTCAACTCTTGAGTTCTACGGTTCATTCAGTTTATTTCAACAAGTTCGAAAATGTCGGGACGTGGAAAAGGCGGCAAAGTTAAGGGAAAGGCAAAGTCCCGCTCTAACCGAGCTGGACTTCAATTCCCTGTTGGTCGTATTCATCGGCTTTTGAGAAAAGGCAACTACGCTGAACGTGTTGGAGCTGGAGCACCAGTGTACTTGGCTGCAGTTATGGAATACCTTGCTGCTGAAGTTTTAGAATTGGCTGGTAATGCAGCTCGTGACAACAAGAAGACTAGAATTATTCCAAGACATTTACAATTGGCCATCCGTAATGACGAGGAATTGAATAAATTATTGTCTGGTGTGACTATCGCTCAAGGTGGTGTCCTGCCAAACATTCAAGCTGTTCTATTACCGAAGAAGACTGAGAAAAAAGCTTAATCGATATTTCATAAACATTCTACCGATATACGGCCCTTTTCAGGGCCACCACATATTTCGAACAATAAGGAATAACTAATTCATTTCATTTTAATAATAATTTTATTTTATTAAATATAGGTGTTATTCAATGTTTATTTAATATAATCAGTAAAATAAAATACATTTTCTTTAAACACAGGTATGTATATTAACATCTATATAAAATATAATGTACATTGTTTTTTTAAAACGAATAAGTTGGAACAGCACCGCACCAATCTTGTATAAATATAATAATGTCGTTCAGTGGAGAATCGGATGATGTTTGTCGAGCGACATTAACCAATTTAGTCCAATCGTCACGATCGGTTACACGGTTACTTTTTTCAAATTTAATCACCGGGCCACGAATCGGATATCCCGTTAACGTACATTCTTGTAAAGGTATTGAATTACTTATTGAACTAGTTAAAGAACCAATATAAACTCCACGTTGATCAATCGGCAAACCTTGTTCTACTTTTTGATCCATAGAAATAGCTAAAACCCATTCTTTAGCTTCTTCCCGTTGTTCCTTAGTCATACTTAAAGTAGCTGGTAAAGGTACTTCCAAGGGAAAATCAGTTACTCTGAGATCATCTACATCGAGAATATTACTATCTCCTTCCTCGATGCATTCTTCAAGATCAAGAAAATGATTTAAGAATATGAAAGCTTCGCTCGTAAGTCCACTAGATCGTGCATCAATACCAGCGTTATAGTAACAACGATCGGGTAACAAAATGTCCGAATAACGTATAAGAGTAATAGAGGTCTTCGTTATTATTCCGTTTAATCCAGAAAATTCACGGCATCCACATCTAACTGCTGAATAATGGGTTGCTTCGAGATATTTACGAAATTTCAAACCACTTGCAGTAGACAAATCTAAATTTTTACATAATTCGTATAAAACGCTTCGTAATTGAGACAAATATTTATATTCGTTATAAGTTTCATCAGAATTGAGAATTGTTTCTGATAATTTGAGATAAAGGTTGAAATATTGGGGAATTGGTAATGCGCTGTATTGCATGTACAGTCGAAGAGCTTGGATTGGTGAATGTGATTTTAGTAAATGGGCCGCACGTTGTGCGACATATTTGTGTAATAGTTCGGGACTTTGCATACTCGCTGCTTCAAATACTTGATCCCATTGACCTTTTTGTGCTAAAATTTCTAAAGCAGCTCCTGTATCAACTTCTACCAATTTGTCGATTTCTCCGTCTCTTATAATAGCATCCTTGTACTTTCCTTCTAAATATGGTTCTAATTCTGGGGCAAGTTCTCTTACAATGCGTCGTGCTCTTTCCCATTCGTTTACAGCAGCTAAAGCGTTGATAGCATCTCTAATCCTATCAGCTTGTAAAAATACCTGTGTTTATAAAAACATCGACTTTATTTACATTTTTTTTATAAATTTAAGTGGTATATGATTATTATTATTATTATCATTATATAAAAAGGTGACTCAAATATAAGTCAGTTTTAATAAGAATGCATATTATTGTAAACAAGTTTAATTTGCAAATCTTAAGCTATTAAAGATACACATTTTTACTCATTTATTTATTTATTTATTTATTTTTATATCTAATTCTAGAAGAACTTTTTAAGAGTTATCAATTACTAAAAAAGCAACATAACCTCAAACAACGACTATTCCAATCAATGAAGAAATAAATAATTGTTAATATTAGTTGATTTATGCATATGCCACCTTGCATATTAAGATAAAAGTTTACCTGAGCAGAAAGAGCATGTTCACCAACATCAAATAATCGTGCTCCTAAATCTCCACCAATTTCTATAGCTGTTTCTGGATCAGCTTGATGAAGAAGAATATCAGCAGCTCGAGTTAAAGAAGTTCTTGATGCTTGTGGATCTAGGATAAGAATATCCAATGCTGCACGTATTTCTCCAACTTCTAACCACTTCTGAGCTTCTTCTAAGGCGTTCAATCCGTCGATACCTGCACTTTTTTGCCCTAATTCTCTACGAAGTGCAGCCTCTTGACTTGGTAAATATTCTCTACATACTCTTAATGCCTCTGACCACATACCAGCTTTCTATATAATCAATCAGAAAAGTGTAATATATATTAGAATAATTTTTAATAGAAAGAATGAGCTTTTATTACACGATATTATTACCTTATAATGATCTACTATTATTTCTGGCTTATGCGCCCTCAAAAGAAGAGATTCTGCAAGGCTGTAATCCTGTGTTTCTGCTGCTTCTGTAGCTCTTGCAACAAGAACTTGATTTAATGCATTTGGAATATGAGACTGTGCCACATCTTCAGCAGCTTCCCAATCTCGAGTATGTATATACATTTGTACTGCTTCCATAGCTCTTCCAGCTTGAATAAATTCTTTTTCTGCCTCTGAAAATCTTCCTTCGTCTTCTAATGCCATGGCTTTTCTATAATGAACTTCTTTCTTTTGATCCGATGTACCATATTTTACTATTTCCAAAGCCCAATCGAATAGACCAGCTTCACATGCTATTTGAAGACAAGCTTCAAAGTATGTTAAACGCATTAATAATCTAGCACCTAATTCTGGTACCAATGTACGTGCCCACATTAATGCCACCTATGAAATGGCGATATTAGTAATATATATGAAATTAATATCATTTTTTATATACTTTTACCTGTTGAGCAGCTTTTTCACCAGAAGCTTGTTTTGCAACACGTAAAGCATCTTCCCACATATTTGCTGATCTATAAGACGCTACAGCACCTCGCCAATCATTAGCGCCTAAAAAGTGTTCTTCTGCTTCCCGAGGTTTCCCAGCAGCATCCAATTCACGTGCTAAATGGGCATGAGTAGTTTGAAGTAACTCTGGTCTATATTTTGCAACTAATCTTATCATGTCATTACGCTGACCAGCTTTTCTATACATTGCAATTGCAGAATCATATTCTCCAATTGCAACATAGAGTGTTTCAGCATGTCGCAAATCACCAGTTTGTTCTAAGGTCTCTGCATGTTTTACAAGAACCTCATTAGCTTCTTCTTTATTCATATATTCTGTGGCTACTTCATGTGCACGATTCCAATTACCAGATTGGATATGAGTATCAATGGCTCTTCTAGGATTTAATGCTCGTAGAAATAAACTTTCTGCTAAATTTTTATCTCCTATCGATTCAAAATACTCGCCAATCTTTTCACATTGCTTTTGTATTTGTGGATCATCGTCTTCTATTACTTGCATTATTTGTAATGCTTTTCTCCATTGTCGAGCATCAATGGCTGCATTTAAAGCAAGAGTAGTTTCTCCAGCTTCGATAAAATGATTTATCGCAGCATCATAATGACCATTTGCAACTAAATGTTTTCCCCATTCTTTTTCTAAAATAACTACAGAAGTTGGATCGATTTTACGAGCCAATTCTAATGCTCTCGCATATACACCAGCTTCAGCATAACATTTAATAGCATCTATAGCGTCGGATGTCTTTTCTAAAATTTCTCCTGCTAACTCCATCAAATCAGTTGCCTTTAAGGCTCGTACTACTTCATTAATAATTGCTGTATCTTCCAGTAATTCATTATTAACTAATAATAGTCTAGCTGCACGTCCTGGTCTACGAGATTCTAAATAAAGTTTTATTGCACGTTGTGGATTATCTGTTTCCATTATAGCTGCTGCTTTGGCTGTTTGTCCATTTTCGAGTAACCATCCTAAATGACGATCTCTAAGCTCCTTTAAACCAGACCAACCACGACTTTGTGCCAAATTTAATGCATCTTCCCAATGCCAATACTTCTGATACATATCTAAAGCTTTATCTAATTCATTTTGTTCTAAATAAATAACTTCTGCAGTTTTCAATTCTCCGTTTAGTATTGCCAACATAGCCCAACAATCTGGACTTGTCAACGAATCATTGCCCGTCTCCATTTGATATTTTTCCCCAACATTGACTATTTCTTGAAGAAATTTCGAACAAGCTACATCTCCAAGAGCAGCATAACATCGTGATGCGATTGATAATTCTCTAGCAGCCATTGCATTTCTTGCTACATTTTCCCACATAGCTTCAGCTTGTGGAGTATCACCTAATTCTTCTAAAAACAAGACAACTCTTCCAAAATCATTATCGTGTAATGCTGTACCAAATTCAATCAACCCTTCATCGAGTAGATAAGATACTCCATTACCCATTTCTTCGACTATCACAGAAGTTTGATCATTTTCTCTAACGATATCTATGGCATCGCCACGAATAGGTATAAGAGTTGCTGCTTCTGGAGCATCCACGTTATACCATACTGCTAATGTTTGACCTGTTTGTGCTACAACAACGTCGCTTCCAGGTACCCAAGATACAAAACCAACTCCCGTTAATAACAAAGTTTTACCTCCTTCATCATCACTTAACCATAATCTTCCTCTTTTATCTCGTGACAAAAGTCTATGTCCCGTTTCACTTAATTCTAACCAATCTACTCGTACATCATGTGTTATCATGCTGATAGTAATACCCGTTACAAAATCAATTATACGTACTGTTCGCGGATCTAAGAGATATGCTAATCTTTTATTGTCTGCCATACCAGGTACATGTCTTTCATTAATTCTTATACTAACAACATGTGGATTTATTGCTTCAGTTCTTACCGATCCAAGTATTTCATTTTTACCATATTCAACAACCATTAATTCACCAGCACAAAATATCAAACAAACTCCAGGATATTCGAAAAAGAATTTTTCATTATTGCTTTTATCTTCCCAAGGTATCTCGCTAATAAGATTTTGTTCGATATCGGTAATTAATAATGTTGTTGATGTGCGTGCTACAATGTTATTATCTTTTCGACCTAATACCTTTACATCTTCTATCTCATTTCCAGTACGTGATCTAATTACAACCGGTTGACTAGTACCATTTAATGGACGAACAATAACTTGACTAGGACCAACATATGCTACCTCGTGACTTCCTCTAACAAGAGTACGTCTTAATATGGTTTCAAATTGTTCAACAGTACCACACAATCCACCAATAATTAATCTGGAACCATCTTTGCGCCATGCCAATGCTGTTACTGTATAGAAATTAGGTAATTCTTTAATCTTTGCTTCTTCCCAAATTGCTCTACGAGGAGTCCAATCAAATATTCTTATTCTGTTCCATGAACCTATTGTAATACTTTGTCCACTAGGACTACAGCATGCAACGGTCATTTCTTTTTCGCTACTATCTTTGCTATAGTCAAAAGTTTTAATAAGTTTTCCATGAGATTCGTAAAACGTTATTTTCTTATCACAACCTGCTGCCATAATATGAGCTTGAGGCCAAGCTAAACCATAAGCTGGTACATTGTGAGTGCATACACGTCCTGAAGGTTCAATATTTCCATCATCCGCCACATAATATCTTATAATACTACCATCTGCGTGACTTGATAGAAAACCAGTTCCTCTAATACTTAAAAGAAAAATTAAAGTAATTAGAATATTGTATTATATATTTTACTGTGCTATTTATATAATTAAATGTGTTACTTAGTAGCCAATGCAATTGTCATAGCATCTGCCGTATACAAGGTTTGTACTTTATGAGTTTTTATAAATGCAGCACGGACCTTGCCATCTATAAGACCAGCTATAATTGGTCCTTCTGTAGGCCAAGCTAAGCAAGTGACTGCTGAATTTTGTTTGAATTTATTGCATATAACTTTTTTTTCACCCCTATGAAAAATTTGTATATATGATACATATGTTTATAGTGCGACATTTAATAAATTTAATAATATGTAAAACATATAACAAATTTTTAATTACCATTCTTCACCAATTTTATAAACATAAATCATACAATCGGTCTGACCTACAGCTATTTTTATTGAATCTGGAGAAAATGCAATACCCTTAACAAGATAACTCTTCTTACCAAACTGAAACAAAAATGATTTACGATACGTTTACTTAAAAATTTGAAGAAGTAATTAATGTATATTATTAATAATAAATATTATACCTTTGGTTCCACAGGTTTAGTAGAAAATCTATCTTTCATAATACCATTTTCATCAAACAAATAGATTGAACGATCAGTAGAAGCGACAGCAAGTTTTTGATTATTAGGTGACCAAACTATGCTAATAACTCTATTTTCATAATCCTATAAATAGAAAAGACATAAATGCATGTTATCATAATTTTCTTTTATAAATAATAATAAAATACACATCTGAGATAACCTACTTGTGATGGTACAATTGTACCTAAATATTTAAGTAACATAACTTAACGTTAAAGTAAATTTCACTTTAAAAAGAAGCGTTATTCGTATATTACAAAAATACAATGAGTTAAAGTCATTAAATGCATATGTACGGTTGCTTAGCAACATTCTTATACACAAACAGTTATGTATGATTGGAAGCGATTGTAGACTATTAAACTGAATTCAAATTGCGCGCCTTAGTCCTATCGAATCCTGCAGGGAGTATCGAAGCGTTAGCATCATACGCTGACCACTCGTATTCCCTCTACATACGCCCTACAGCGTCCTTAAGAAAAAGCACTTGTCTTATTCTTTTGCTGGACGCCTACGACGATACATTTTTAGCGACGAAACCAACGAAGAATAGTCCAAGAAGGTAATAAGTAAAGGAAGTGTATCAGCAACCTATACACTTCCATAACGGTCATCCTTGTGAAAAAGAGTGCATAAATACTTTTTCGACTGTGAAGTTCATTATTGTATTCATATACAATCGAACTGAACGAGAGGTGAGAACACGTGTTCAATAAAGTATCATACGTTTTCTTGGCTCAATCACGTGTTTTATTTCTCATTTTAATTTAACCCTTTATCTTCCTCATCATTAGCTTACCATATTTACCAGATGTCTCCATGTTGGAGAAATATATACATACAAGCTGTAAATACGTATAACAAAGAAAATATAAAATCTCTATTAATAAAAGTTGTGTTTAATTAAATTCAATTAATTAATTTAATTTATATAAATGATTATTTTACATTGACGATAATAAATCGTCAATAATATCGCAACGCTTTATACAATTTTTTATTGATTACAATGTAATAATTCTTTTGCAATTTCATTGAAACCTTTAAAAATTGCGCAAATATAAAATTATTATAAATGTTAAGTATTATAAATTATTAAAAAGTTATTAACCCTTTGAGTGCTATGGGACGCATATATGCGTTTGGTAAGAATTACTAACCTCATCGTTCAAAGCATATACGTGTTTGTTAATATTAATGTAAAGTAATTTATTAATTAATTAAGTTATATTCATAAAGAAAAACTTTAATTATTAAATATAATTATTACTAGAATCTGCTTAATAATAAACTATTCTGTTCCTACAAAAACATTTTAAGTAAAAATATTCAGCACTCAAAGGGTTAAAAAGAGATTTGTTCGACAGTAATTTTACTTCAATTTTCGTTTTGATTCTACAATTGAAAAAAAAATGGAAGAAAGAATAGAGTATAGTTAGTGATTTTAAATAATATTAATTTTGTTCATTAAAGATAAATTAAATATTTATATATGTGATCTCAATAGAATTATCTTTATTTTTTATATGAAGTGCATTGGTCGACTTGTTACTTCTGCATTATTCCGTTGTGTCGCTCGTGAAAAGATGCTGCGTATTAATTTAAAATAAAGTATAAATATGAATTAAAATAATTGACTAAAAAACAATTTGAAGAACAGTGATTAATAGTTATAAACGACAATGGAAATTGTACATCATTATGCTAAAGTAGAAGAATGGTAAGTTACGTATCACATTTGTCTTTGTAAAATAACAGAGAGTCTTATTATTTTTGATCATTCTGTTTGTTTTATCAATAAAGCATCTTGGAAATTTTTACTTTACGTATAATGGAATATATATTTGATTTTCGTTAATTTTATATTCTTGTTCATGTTAAGAACAATTAAAAGATTGAAATGAAATTATTTGATGAATTTAAGGTTATCCATTATATATCTATGTTTATTTGAAAAGTTGATTCTAAGAATTCCATAAATTTGATTATATTTTTTAGTACAGATGAAACTACAATTTCTGATGATAACGTCAAAATGGTTTTGACAGAAGCTGAAATAATAGATATGGATGATAATATAGAAATTAAATCAGAGGATGAAAATGTTCAGTATCAATTATGTCAGATAAATAAAGATGAAAGTGCTGTGGCTTATCGTGTAGTACAAGTTAGCGATAATCAATTGGAGAATAGTGAATTGTCTGTAGCAACTCCTGTAAATAATACCGTACAAGTTTTGACTTCTCCATTAAATGGTCAGTTATATCTGCTTAGTAATGGAAATGAAATGCTTTCTTCAGACTCTACGAGAGATATAATTCCTTGTGTTACCAAAGTAAAAATAGAACCATCAGAAAATCTTGTTCTGGGTGCTAAAAAGGTAAAACCTTGGTAATAACTGTTATTTTACGCTATTTCTTTATATAGTTTCAGTCAATAAATGGAATTCAAAGTTTTTGTAAAATTTTTCTTTAGAGAGACGAAAAGAGGAGAGCGACACATAACGAAGTAGAGAAGCGTAGAAGAGACAAGATCAACAATTGGATTTTTAAATTAGGAGAACTTATACCAGAAAGTATAAATGGAAATGGTACTAATGAAGGAGATATGAAAGTTAATTCTGAATTACAAGTAAGATATTTTCACATATTGTTGTTACATTATCTATCTTGACTATTATAGATCTTTTTTTGAAATATTTTTGTTGATAGAGCAAAGGTAATATTTTAATGCAAGCCTGTGAATACATAACGGATTTAAGAAAGACACGAGAAAATTATGTTAGACATTTGGAAGAAAATACGAAGTTATCAGAGGAAGTCAAAAATCTCAGACAAGTTGTGACACAATTGACAAAAGAAAATAACCAATTAAAATTACAATTATCTAGTAATACTAATTATGTTGGTATTGAACAATTTCTTCGGCTACGATAAAAAAATGATTTATTGCAGCATCGTAATGATCACTTGCAGCTAAATGCATTCCCCCATTTTTTTCTAAAGTAATTACAGGAGTTAGATCAACTTTACAAATCAATTTTAATGCTCTCGCATATATACCAGTTTCGGCATAATATTTAATAGCATCCATAACATCGGATGTCTTTTCTAAAATTTCAAATAGTTGTAAATACGTATGACGACGTAAATATTAAATTTCTATTAATAAAAATTATGCGAACATATGAAGCTCTAAGCTAATTAATTAATTAAATTTAAATGAATTTAAAATTGATGATAAGAAACGATATATCGCAATGTTTTATACAATATCTCATTGCTTAAATTTAATGAATGAACTTACGTAAAATATATGATAAATAATAATTTCTATTTCGAGAATTTTCATTAAAAATTTTCGAGAGAGATAGCTGTGAAAAGTGTAAGAAAAACAGAACAGAAATGTAATAATTCTTGTGTAAATTCATTGAGACTTTTCAATACGTCGCATATAAAATTATTACTATAAATGCTGAGTATATATATATATATATACTATAGATTATTGAAAAATTATTAAAGAGGTTTAATTTTACCTCAATTTTTTTCTTTTTCATTTTATAATAAAAAAAAATGGAAGAAAGAATAGAGTATAGTTAGTGATTTTAAATGATATTAATTTTGTTCATTAAAGATAAATTAAATATTTATAAATGTGATCTCAATAGAATTATCTTTATTTTTTATATGAAGTGCATTGGTCAATTTGTTACTTCTGCATTATTCCGTTGTGTCGCTCGTGAAAAGATGCTGCGTATTAATTTAAAATAAAGTATAAATATGAATTAAAATAATTGATTAAAAAACAATTTGAAGAACAGTGATTAATAGTTATAAGCGACAATGGAAATTGTACATCATTATGCTAAAGTAGAAGAATGGTAAGTTACGTATCACATTTGTCTTTGTAAAATAACAGAGAGTCTTATTATTTTTGATCATTCTGTTTGTTTTATCAATAAAGCATCTTGGAAATTTTTACTTTACGTATAATGGAATATATATTTGATTTTCGTTAATTTTATATTCTTGTTCATGTTAAGAACAATTAAAAGATTGAAATGAAATTATTTGATGAATTTAATATTATTCATCACGCATATAATGAAAAATGTATTGACAAAATTGATTTGAAGAAATTCATAACTTTGATTATATTTTAATACAGATGAAACTATATATACAATTTGTCACGATAACGTCAAAACGGTTTTGGTAGAAGCTACAAATGGTATTAATGTAGGAGATATGAAAGTTAAATCTGAATTACAAGTAAGATATTTTCTTATATTGTACTATCTATATATTTTTACTATTGTAGATCTTTTTTGAAATATTTTTTTTTTGATAAAGTAAAAGTTAATATTTCAATGCAAGCCTATGAATACATAGCAAAATCTTAATTTTCAGATACAAGGAAATTATGCTAGATATTTGGGAAAAAATACGAAGTTGTCGGAGGGAAGACAAAACTCTCACACATATAGACAAGTGCAATGCAATTGAGAAAAGAATATTACCATTTAAAATCACAATTATCTAGTAATACCAATTATATATTAGGCAATTAATTATTTGTTAGATTTTATGATATTCGATATATTATCTTGTTTTCAATGCTTACCAACGTGTTCTATATATTTTTACAGTAAATCGAAAGGACGTAATTAATTAATATAACTTAGCACAATAAAACATTACTGTAGTTAATTATAAAATGTTTATTTACATGTATTTAACTAAACAATACTTGTATCTGATAAACGATATAAATCGCAATTATATAGTTATAAATTCAACTGTACATATATACTATAAACAATAACTACATATAACGCGAACGATAGATTAAAAAAGTTGAAAATTTATTATTAAATCATTAAATCAGATGTACAAATATACAAAAACATTGCGCCATAATCAATAAGTAACTTTTTTCAAATGTTACATATGATATATGTTTTTAACTTGAAAGTTAATTTTTTTATTGTTTTTATTCTAAAATGCATTGAAGTTAACTGGTAGGTCTACAGTATTTACAATTGTAAAATACATCTATTTATGTACATTCAACAGAGCAACATGTTCAGTATTATGTTTTTTAGTTCATTGCCATAATATATATCTAATTATGTTGATAATAACAAAATGAGCTTTATATCTTTTTTTATCCTTAAATATGCACATACAGTTTTATCATTATCAAATTTAGGGGAAAATATATATGTATATATATTTATATATGTATATATGTACGTATGTGTATATGTAATTTCTAATATTATTATTGCTTTAAAGCACATTATTTTACTTTTTTTTGTATGTAGCTGTTTTAGATATATTTGCATTAATATCTTGTACTCTATTGGGTCTAAGCAGTTATGGCAAGAGGCTTCCAATAGTAGTACAAGAAAAGGAATGATATTTATAGTTACGTGTCTCTAAATATTTTTCAGATTTTTTTTCAACCTTTTTTTCGTTTATTTAAGATGGAATTAAAAATAAATATTAATCTTTGAAATCAACAATGTACATCTGATAGTATTTCTTTTCTTACTTCGTTAAGCATATATAAGTTCAATAAGTTATTTCGGTAAAGAATAAATACATAATTTAATATTATCGTCTCCTCTCTAAATTTTTTATATTCACAAGAAAGAGAAAGAAAAAGAGAGCATGTAAGATAGAGAGGAAGAAAGAGAGAGTGAGAAAGAGAGAAAGAGAAAAAGAAAGATAGAGCGAGACACGAGATATTTAAAAAATAAGTTGACCATGTTTAGAGTTCGTCCTTGTGCATAGTATACACAAAGAAATCACATTGAAATCAATAAATTTGTCCTATAAAAATAACTCTGAAAAAAGTTAGGTCCAGCAACAAATGTATTTTTCTAATCTAAGCTTCAACGTACTAACAATTTTTCTATACAGCTTAGTTAGTAGGAATCTTACTCTCCTGATCTACGATTATATTGTCTTTGTCATATAGTAGATGCAATGCCAGAAACTGAGTGGAAAACTTATACATATATTTAGTTTATTCTTCTTTTTCCCCTTTGTGTAAATATTCTTTTTGTTTATAATTGTGCATTGTTAAACCAAAGTGGAACCATAAGAAAGAAGAATTAAAAAAATATACGTGCTAAGCTTAACGATAATATTTTCTATTTCCCTCAGTGTGTACCAACTTTTGTTTTTTGACTTATCAAAGCAAACATGTGTAGAAATTGATCGAACAAAGACATTTCTTTAAACATATTGGCAGTGTTGAGAACTTTCGATCGGTGAGAGCAAATCTTTATATGTTTTTTTTTGTATTTATTTATTTATATATTTAATCTTTATATTCTTTATATTTCGAACTTGTCAAGTTGAAGAATTTTATTTATTAAAACTTTTGATCTCAAAGTTCTTTACCGTTCAACCGACTTCTATTACGAATCCTTGCGTTCTGTACAAGAGTAGAAAAAATGTGCAGATTCTTTAGACGGTCTTCGTGTCTTTGAGGGCTTTGATATGCGTACTATATTTACATACCCATTGATATATATATATATATATATTTTTTTTTTCTGTTATTATTGGCGTCATATTCCAAAGTTTTCACCAATAAAGTCAAAATGTCTCTTTGTTATTTGACACGGAAACATAATTATGGGCCTTTTTCAAAGTGTTCGTTCATCGCCATTTGAAACTACTATGAGTATTATCATTACATAGTTCACATGGAATAACATTCTATATTTAATGAGGCAGTAATAAGAGTTACAAAGGAGCCCGTTTGAGAGATGTCATCTACGAAAGACCTTTAATCACGTTCCGCAATAATTATTTCCACTTATACAAGCGCATATCATATTCATATCAGTCTTTCATTCGTCATAATAAAAAAAAAACATTTCTCCACGTTCACACTCTATATGCATCTCGTATGTAATCAAAGCCATTCCTTCCGTATTAATAAGATTAATATTGATCATTGTCGTTATTAGTTTGCAGATACAAGTGACTAGTACTTTCCCGTTTAGTATTTTAAAAGCATACTATTTGATTATTATTATTATTATTATTTTCTTTTTTTTTATACATTTACTAGCTATCACTATAAGTGATCTTATTCTTCTAGCTTATTACAGTTCTCCTCTGGCAATAATATATAATTCCTAACTAGTCTTCCAAGCGATTCTACACATCCAATTAGAAGAATCTTTCACGTTTATCAACTTTGGTTCGATCAAAAACTTTAATGTACAGTTAAGATATATATATACTTGTATATATATGTATCTATATATCGGACTTTTTAATTATTTTTATTACTAATTTTTTTTGTTTTTTAAGCAAAGTACGTTTCACCGGAAGGAATAGTTTAAAGAGCAAATAGTTAGAGCAGTGGTGCTTGTCGAAATACGTTCTTGTTTAGCGAGGCAGTGAACGAAAAGATCATTGACATTATAGATTTGCTGTCATTATAATTATTTTTCTTTCTTTCTTCGGAATCGTAGAATAATAGTTTGATGCAGAACAACAGTCAATCAATTTCACTACAAAGATGTTATTTTATATACGAGCTAGAGTCCTTTTTTATTTTATATCGCAGCTGTACTTTGATTTTCTTTTGTATATGCATATATATACTTTTCTTTTTAGTACAGCACAACGACTCGTAGAGATAATTTGGCGTACCTTCGTACCGTACATTCGATGAGCGCTGAAATAATGCCAATAACTTCAAAAGATCGATTTAAAAATTTCAAGTCGATCGTGGATGAAGGATTATGATTAAAAAAGCGCTTCTCGTTGAAGTAATTTTTTTTTACAAATCGATGTACGGAACGAAGGTGGGCCTGTCTCAGGACGGTTGAGGTCGTGCATTTTTCTTGCTGCTACCGAACGTAAACCAGATACCGACTTTACGGCCCAATGAATTGGTTGCGCCTTGTGCTACTACGTTTGATACGTCGTACGTTGGCTCTCTCTTATATGATTTGCCTAAAAGAACAGTTTAAATTCAAGATTCATCTAGTTTTCCTTTTTTCTTTCGTAACGATCAAGATTTTTACATATAAAAAAAAACAGTTTGCATACTCCGAGGTTTTACGGGTGGCCTGATTCGTTGTCTGTTTGCCGCTAATCTGGCGAGTTGCCGAGCAGCAGCTGGAAATTCCAGTCCATCGTTCCTATCTTGTGCTACCAGTCGTCGTTCCTCAGCCATTGCTACCAACCAACGATGTTTCTCTTCGGCCGTACGACAACAGAACAATAGCCATTTGTCTCTTACGCAGCTATATACTTTCAAACAATGCCTAACCGTCACACCCAACTGATGATCTGTGAGAATATTATTATTTATTAGAGACATTAGAAAATTTATCTGACTAAAAAGATATATTTCTATTTATTTGATCAATATTGTAAAACATTTTTGTTCAATATAAATAATAATTTATCAGTGTTTATAATAAAGGTAAGATTGTATCAAGAATATAAATTGATACAGAGTATATAAATGATATTTTATTATAAATACTGATCGTTTATTTAAAACAGTAACGAAAAATGTAAAAAATATTAATTCCATAACTAGCAGTCTCTAAAAGATATAATAATATCTACCTTTTCCGTCTGGCACGTCGATGACTTCGCTCGTATCGAGATAAATACGACCCTTGTAAACGTAAGTGTTACGTTTTAAAATATCTTTCTTACAATAGACGAGCTGATGATCGAAGAGGAAAAGCGTGATGTTGTTCGTCCACATACCAGTGGTTACTCGCATAGCGTCACCTTGATAAATCAGTTGAGAAGAAACTTCTATGAGATCTTCGCCCTAAAGATCACACACACACACACATAATAAAACGTCGAAATAATAATAATTTAAGAAAAGTATAAAAAAGGATAACTATATATATATCATCGAATCAAACGTACTTCCCATCCTTCGACCCTAAGTTGCCAAGCAGCCAACTTCTCTAAACTTTCCATTCGTCTTTTCCTTTCATTAATCAATACAGCAACGCCTCGCATAGCTTCCAATGCTTCTTGAATTTTATGATAATCTGGGTGATCCGCTTTCGTGTACTTTAACAACTCCGCCAACTGCAGGGGATACTTGCATATCCGTTGCACCGGCGTAAGCAAGTATCCATCCAAAGGTATCTCTATCAGACCACGCATTAGTCTACAAGCTTCGAAAAACTTGCTATAACGATTGTGCTGATAAAGTTCCTGCAGTGTGGCGGTTGCCATTGGATGGCTGTTGCAATATTCGGAATACATTCGAAAGCCTGCTCTCTGAAAAGAGAAGGAAACATAGAAACGTTTAAGTTGAATCTTTTGATAGACATTTCTTGTGATTTTATCGAAATAATTCGAAGATGGGAGGGAAAAGAAATCAAATGTATCACTTACGTGTTTCAGAAAACACTCGCCGACACAACTCTTGTGCGGTGAATTCCAATCAATACGAGATTCCAAATCCTTCAAAAATTCTGATTGAAAGTCTAACAGCTCTTCGATATTGATAAAGATCGTTTCTATTTGTTCCTCGTTAAACATATCTGTACGTCTTCGACACTCTGCTATATATCCTTCGGTAACGTCCCTTAAAATCTTCACAAAGTCTCTCTCAGTTTGGACCAATTCACGAACAACGCTTGTCCTAACTTGTTCATTCGATAGCAACGACACGCTTGTGCGCCTTCTTTGGGAGTTCGATGTACCTCCAGAGGCTATCGCGGCTAAACAATCTTCGACGGTATCTTCTTGACTTACCCGCAACTGTAATTGATATGTCACTGAACAAATAACGTTTTAGAACATCGAAGTATTTTAACACTAAATCTACCAATAGTTTATATATTGAACATCTCTATTATTATATTCACATTAGTTATAATTGAATATAGAATTTGAACAGAAAATTTCAAAATTGATAGAAATGATTAGAAAAATGTAAACCTACCCTAACGAAAGCAGCAGGAAACCAGCCACGTTCTCCTTCACAGCTACCCCACCACCAATCCTTGTCAACCATATCAAGCACATCGATGAGGTCACCAGCCCGAAAAGCTAATTCCTCCGGTTCCATAGCTACGTGATCCCAAACAGCTTCAGCCAGAACGACCACCTCTTCATCCATCGTCTGCTCAAAAGATTTTTTTCTGTCCGTGAGCGAGGCGATGGATGATTCGGAATCAGACATCATCTCGTCGTCTGAGGTACCACCTCTTCCATCCTGTTCATCTTCGGACAGGACATTTCCACCGGGTAATCTCGCCCCTAGATTACAGAAAGATCGATGTATCAGTTGATGAAAGTGTTCAAGGTTACACGTAATTTCTTCCCCATACAGTGCTAACTCCTTTAGCTTCGGTTTCAAAGAAGACGTAATTTTAGCTTCCTAGGAGCTCCTCTCTTTCTCTCTCTCTCTTTTTCTTTGATTGGTCTCTTTCCACGTCCAGCTCGTTCTGCTCGGTAACAACGGGAAAAAGATGAAGATCAATCTTTTTTCCTTCTTTCTTTTTGTTTCGTTTTCTTCATCACCTTTCGTATTTCTCCACTTCGATAGATCTATCACAATTGGAACGATCTAACGGTTCTACAGTGCAGCTTTGCTAACAGAAGCGTTTCAACGATTGGGTACAAATGAGTACGAAGCAACGTTCTTTCTTCATTTTACGACACGATCAAGTTATATATATATAGAATACAGGTGCGGAGCAGTTCATGACGATGTGATTTCTCTTTACTAACAATAAATGCATTCGGTCTAAAGAGAGCGACGAACTTTCAAAAATTGTGACTCTTCTACTTAAGGTGCATGCAAACTTTGGTATTTATTTTAGAGAATTTTTAAGGTATATCTATTAGGAAGAGCAATTAATTCGGATTCCATTTAAACTAATTTAGTATTTATTTATGTAGTGATTCATATTATATCTGTTATTCTTCGAAATAGTCTACATTATTATCGATAGATAATCTCTGGACCCATCTGTCAGCCAATTGCGTAATTCTTTGACGAATAAAAGGGGGGTAATTTTGATGTAATGATTTTAATATCAAGATAACGAATTAATTGCTACACTTAATATAATATCGAAATATAATAATGTCGAGTAGCACTGATAGGAAAAAGAAATAGAGATAATTATTGTGCATTTTGATTTAAACAAAAGGCAAGCTGTTAATGGAAGGATAGTACTTTCAAATGGAACATGGATTTCATCAAACACAATTTTACAGATAAATATTTTTGGGCACAAGTGAGAAGGAGGATGATCATTTAAGCCATATTTCAACTACATATTGTGAAAACGTAGAAAATAGTTATGCTTCCTGTCGGTTGGAAACAAACTTCTTCGTTTACCGATTCTTCGAAGATACCTGATTCGTGAATGGTTTTTCTCTTACCTGCAGTTTTGGTGCGCATCAAGGGTGAAAGCTGATTGATACCCAGTGGCTGACTAAGTGAGCGCCTCAAATTTGTCCGAGAACTCCTCCCTTTCGCGTTACTGAGACCAGAATAAAGCTTAGATTAATAGTAGTTAGGTAATTAAATCCCAAACACATGGGTTTTTATTGATTTTTTTCTTAATTTTTGTTTAATTTTTTTTTTTAATTATTATCTTAAGTTCGGGCGGAGAGGCTCAACAAGCGTGTGTTTTTACGTGTAAGCATCGATACAACATTCAGCAACGAATTACGATAGGTAGATAGTATATTTATATGTGTATATGTGTATATATATATATATATAATATGTCCATACATATATATACGCATGACAAAATGTATATTATTTTATTATATATATATATATATAATCTGTACATACGTAGGAACTGTCCTTTCGAAAATGTACACCTCGATCATCATTTTGCATTATCATTTTGTTTCTCATCAAGGAGAAGTTCGGAAAAATTACTCACAACTATATTACAACGTCACTCGGAGATATTCTACTGCAAGCAATTCTAATCTACAATTCGGGATGGTACACCGATGAGAATTTTCTTTTTCTTCTTCTTTTTATTATTATTATTATAATTATTATATATATATATTTATATACGTTTGTATGTACTCTTATTACATATATATGTACATACAGGGTGTCTTAGCTAATAAAGAATTATCCAAATATCTAAATATTCTTAGAATATTCCATAAAATGTAAAATAATTGCACCCTGTATATATATACAGAAATCGAGACGACGATGACGACAATTCTTTTCGATATATAATAAAAATTAAAATAAAAAAAAGAATTATTTTATAATCGTGCATGAAGAGAAACAAAGAAAGATAGAAAAAAAGAGAGAAGGAGAGAGAGAGAGAGAGAGACAGACAGAGATAGAGAAAAAAAATATTAAACAAAAAGGAATAAAAAGAAGACAGATAAACGAATAACTTTTCTGTCTCCTCACTGATAACGAAACAAACGATCGAAGCGTTCACTTACGAAGGTGGTACTACGTCCTTACTGGTTACGTGTTTACGCGTGACAGACCAACTTTACGAGGAAAATTAAAAAGAAGGTGGTTTGTTATAATACCCGTCTACCTACCACTAGTCTCCCTCGATTTACTGGAAAGGTTCGAGAATAAAAGAAATGTCAATTTTGCGAAGGACATTTTATAATAGATTATCTGGGATTTGATGGTTGGTTTGATATAGGTTAGTCGCGAGTGTAGTTTATGTTAATGATAGTTTCTTTGTTTTTTATTTATACTTTTTTTCTTTCCATATATATATAGGTACATTTATGTATATATATATATGATTTTGTTTTCTTTCGTTTTTTTTTCTTTTTCTTATTAAAACTTTATCATGTACGAAAGAAAGCAGCGGCCGATCTATGATGAGCGCATTTATTGATAGATAAAAGAAATAAGATTCAGCGTTTAAGTAGTAGTGCACATAACAAGCTAATCGTAAAACTGCGATCAAAGCCTTTACGAAGGGTGTTACAGTTAAGTGAAAAAGAGTGAGAGAGAAACAGATAAATAAGTACTTGGATATTAAAAAGTAAGAATACAAAGATTTTTAATGAACATCGTGTTGAACTTTTCTTCGATAAATACATTATTCGATCAAACTTTTTTCATTGAAATGTTTCACCCTTGGTATAGAAGAAATTACAATATATATATACTGTATTTTTTGCCAATTGGTAATATTCAATGCTAAGGCTTTTTAACAGCGTTCAAGCAAATGCTACGTAAAAATGAAAATAAGATTCATAAAAAACATTTCGTTTGATAATTTCAAATTATTTATTATTAAATATAGTATTGGATTGGCCAATAAATAATATCGAAATTTTTAATATATTGTATATATTTAAATAAATATCGTTCAGAGAGAGAAATAGTTTTAAATGAAAATTTAAGAAGCATTTTGTGTGTGTATTAGTATAAATAAATAACATTATAAAATAATTTATTTTTTTTTCGAAATATTTTTATTATAAATATTTCACGTTTAACTAATGAATAATATTGTAGAATCATTTGTTTATCGATGAAAATTTTTAATATTTTTTTAAATTAATATTTGACGACATTACTAATTTAATAATATTTTATATCAAATATATATATATTTGAATTATTTTTTATTTATCGGTCGTGCCAATATAAAAATGAAAGAAAATTTTACGTAGCAGGTGCCAAAAGATCAGGCCGTGCAGCATTACTCTTATGTGTACGCATGTGTATACATAAAAGAATGCTCGTTTCGCGAATGGCAAGAAGGTAGTAAATGATGCGTACGCGATCGAAATACGATATTTTTATGAGAAAGAAAGAAAGAAAAGAAAGAGAGAGAGAGAGAGAGAGTGAAAGAAAGAAAGAAAGATAAGATAGAAGAAAGAAAAGAGAGAGAGAGGTAAATAAAGAGAAAAACTCACCTTCTCAGTGTAACGATGTCGTGGGAAGAGTGTCTTGGACTTAATCTTGGTGGTCTGCTTTTAATCGGTGATGGTGTTGATAGCATCCTTCGATAATTGTGAATATGACTATATCCTGATCGAGTATCCCACTGTAGTAATCTTTGTCCACCAAGATCACTGTTAGCCCTACGTACGTGTTGATGTCTCGATGCACGACTCTGTAAGTCGGCCTGAAAAATATAATCGTCTGTATTTTGTCTCGATACATTGATCATATTTCATTTGATTTCATTTCATAATCTCTATGTTTTTATATATATTACAATGAGAATACTAATGAATTAAGTAGTAGTAATCGTTTCGTTATGAAATTTGTATTACGACGAGTGTTAATGTGATAAGATGATATGTCCTAACGTTTATCAATAATTTCATAGTTTAACGATTTTGCATACAGTTTTTTCTCCTATTATTTCTATATATTCATATTTTTTTGATAGACCAAAACTTTGTCCCAAAAATAACTTTTCGGAAAAAAAAAAAATATTAGACAAATTTTGTTGGGGTTAGATATTTCGAGTGACGATGAAATCGTATAGTTCCAAATTTTATTTTTGATTATAATAACACTAATTAGAGATTTCAATAAACAATAAAATATTGTAATTCTATAAATACACTAATATTGATTTTTTATTATTGTTCTTTTTTTTTCTCGGTAAAGTAACTTTTGGGACAATTTGTATATACATATACAAATAATATTACAAATAATTATATATAAAAATAATAATTTTAAAGAATGAGATAAATAGAACAAAGTCAAAGTCAATTCGTTTAAAATCACGTTTGAAGAAATTTGATCTTAGTTGATTAGAGTCGTTCGAAGAAATTGTCATCAAAGACGTCTATTGATGTAACTACCTTGGAAAATTTCTACAGTAGTAGGATGTATGTGTATATATTTCGCGTTACTCTTCGATCGGCGCTCGTTGAACGGCGCACGACGCAACTGTGACTCTCGCGATATCGACTGACCAGAACCGTATATGGGTTTTCTCTCTCTCTCTCTCTCTTTCTCTCTCTCACACACACACATACACACATTCTCTCTCTCTTTCTCTTTGTCTCTCTTTCTCTTTTATGTATCCTCCTCGTATCCTGGTTCATGCGATATACGTTATATTCTCGTCGTTGCTTATCGGTGTCGGTTGTGATCCGCACGAGTATGGGCACCGGAGAAAATGCGGATGATACATCCAACAACGTGTTATCATCAACAATGACGAGATAGGACTACGGGGATCTATGCTTGTTTAAAATTTAAACGAGTTCGAGAGCAAGGACAATGTCAATCGTGATTTCTCTTTTGTCGTATGTGAATTTCACAGATATATATATATAAAGAAGTTGATTATCAATCCTAATGTGTGACTCCGGTTATCCATTTTATTTTTTTATTCATTGTTGAATTAGATTATTATTATTATTATTATTATTATTATTATTATTATTATTATTATTATTATTATTATTATTATTATTATTAATGATTCAGTTATGATCAATGTTACTCACAATTAGATAAATGATTATTATATTTATATGAATATGAAAATATATACACATATGTAGAGATGATATTAACATTTTTGAGAGATCTTCTCACTAATCAGCAACAATTTTTTTTACCTTAAACTTGTCTATCAGTATCTGGTTGATGAGCTCGGACTGGGGTCTTGATTTATCGGCAACTCGCCTACGAAGGGCCGGAGGGCTGTCCGTTTCATCTTGGACGTCGGTGTCGTGGGATTCGGAGCTATCGCCACCCCCCATCGTTCCTCCACTACTGCCCACAGTCAATGCTCCACCAGATACCATCTATAGTACGCCATACACAATTCATTCCACAAGAGATAGATATTCTTTGACTAACCCATTTTCTCTTTTTCTTTTTCGTTTTCTTTCTCTCTTTCTTTTTCTCTTTCTTTCTTTATCAGCTTGTTCTTTTTTTTTCTTAATTTTTCTTTCATTCGAATTTCTTGGAAAAATTTAACGCTAATACTACTTTTCACGATTTTCCACGAACTCATTCAGGAATACATTTTTTTTCTTTAATAATAATTATAATAATGTTTATAGGATGCAGCAATGTCGGTTAAAATCTTTACCTCTATTTGTATTCCACTGTCTCCGCTGTTGCATTTTGCATTACGTGCCGCCTTGTTACTCTTTTTCCTTTCTTTACTGCTCCTCCATACCAAAGGACCAAATCTGTGAAAAAGGAAAATACGAAATATAGCAAAAAGTTATTCTTCTATATTTTTTTTTTCATCATGTTTTTAATCTATTTCTTATTTGAAAGAACAAACAAATACTATATATATGTATACTAAAAAAATAAATAATCGCTCTTTTTATTATTTTATATTTGATGCCAATTTTGTTCTAGTTACTTACTTTTTCTATTTAATTATGTTTAAACTATATGCCCATTATAAATGGGTAATATCGAAGTACAGGTATCCCTCAACAACAGGGTTTCTCATAACACGGTTTCGTTATAACACGATTCATAATTGCGGGAACCCTCCTACAACACGGTATCCTATAAAACGGTTTTCTTTCAAAAAACCTTTTTACAACACTGTACTTCTACAGCCGCGGCGAGGCTTACCGTCTTAAAGATACAGTGTTGCGGAAAGTATTTCTTTTCATCTCCATAGCTTGAAAACAAAAGTGTCTCACGCTGTTGTGAACTGAAAACATCAACGTTAAATGCGTGTTGGAAGGAGATATGGCTCTCTTCAGTTAAAATAGAAAACGTGCGTGAATCGTTACAAAATGAAATTGGTTGCATATCAGAACTTGCTAAATCAATCGGAGGCGAAGGTTTTGTGGAAATAGCTATTGTGGACGTTCAAGGTTTATTAATGGAAGAAGAAGTTGACGAAGCGGATTTGATGGAAATGGTATCCGAAACTGTAAATTAAATTGATCCTGAAGACACTAGTACTGATGAAGATCGTGCTGTTAATAAGTTAACATTAAAAATATTACAAGAAGGCCTAAACTTAGCTGAAAATCTCGAGTCATTTTTCTTGAATGCAGATCCTTCCAAAGAAAGGAGCCGAAAATTTAAAAGGAAGCATCAAAACTGTCTAGGTCCATACCAAGAAATTTACAATGACCTGGTAAGAAACAACAAGCAAAGTAAAATTACAGATTTTTTTAAAGAGAGAAGAAGATGCAAGAACTTAAAAAAAAAGAAAAACGTTCTGAAAGTCAAGGCGATATCATTCTACCGAAAAAACGTTCTCAGTTGAATTAATTGAGCAGTGACGACGAAGAAATAAATTAAATTCAAGTTGCGTTAAATTAAGATAATATTTTTTGTTTTGTATTGTTCATACATTTATATTTTAAAATTAAGTTGTTTATTAAAAAAAAAAAATATTTGTTTTAAAAAAGTTTTCGGAACGTAAAACCCCTCTTTTTGCATTGGCTCTCGGTCTCAAATAACACGGTTTCAAATAACACGGCATTTTCAAGGGAACCTATCTACCGTGTTGTTGGAGGGAGACCTGTACTTAAATTAAACGTGAGAAAATAGCAAATTGGAGTTTAAATTTGGAACATAAAGGAACAGTAGAAATTGTGCTCGAAACATAAATTATGCTTTCGGTCAAGAGACAATTAGTAAACGTACAGTTTCACATCGATTCCAGATGTTCTTTAATTATTGATAATAATTATATTTTGAAGGCCATTATATCGAAACAAATCCACGTGAAACAATTTTCGAGAGGTACTAGAACAACTCAATGTTCATAATTCAATAGTTATTCGATATTTGAAACAATTATAAGTTTGTAAATTGGATATGAATTAAAAAAAAATTAAATTTCATCTCGAATATACCAACCGGAACTTTTGATCATTGCCAGGATCGTCCTTGTGTTGTGAGCTTTGTTCAGATGACAATATGGTTGATGTTTCCCTTTCTTCTTCTTCTCCCAGCTGCCCAGTAGTTCTTTCATTCTCTTCCACGGGACATTCCCCCTCCGTACTTTCTTTACTTCCCTTTTTGTGGAATCTTAAAGAAAAGCTCTTTCGAAATTTTTGTAAGACGCTTTCCTGTTGACTCTGTGGTGTACTAGAACGGTGTGAATTTTGTCCTGTACCACCGCCAGAAGATGTAATTACGTTCGACGAATTCAAGGTCGAAGGATCCTGAAGACGAGAATGAGTTACCAATGGTATTGTTGCTTCTGTCAAAGGATGTTCTGTTCTTGTTTGATGACTACGTGTCCCATCACTTTCTTCATCACCTGACCACTGTCGACTGAAAAAAAAAACAACAAAAATAAAAAAATCAATTTTATTTGTGCATTAATTAATTTATTGTATTTTTTTTATTATATTAAATTATTGAGTAACAAATGTTATGCGATAATATTTATTAAATTTTAATTTTTATGATTGATCAGTTTGGTCATATTATACGACTTGTAATGTTGTTTGTTCATTGAAAAATGTAATATTTTTATTGAACGAAACGACAGAAGAAAAATGTTTGAAAGACATTGGGAAGATAAATGAATGGCATTCTTCGATTATGCACGACCGCAGATGTTACGAGTGTGACTGATGAAAATGAAATAACGGAAACAACAATTTCTCGAGAAAAAAAAAAGAATTTAAACGCGTCAGGTCTTTGAAAACGGAAACCTGTGGTCGTCGAAGCAAAATCATTTTGCAAGTGAAAGGTGTTGTGTTACCAGTTTGATTATTAATCGATGATATTTACGCGTGAAATACAGTTCGTGAATTTTACAAAATTAATTTTTCATATAATTTATTGTTAAAAAAGATGCCTCTAAATTATTTTCTAAGATTTTGATTTTTTATAAAGATTAAAAGAAAAACGTAATCGTTTCTCAGATGCTTTTCGTTATTCCATGAGTTTACTATCCATTAATACACGTTTATCTTGTTGTTGTTTTTTTAAGAAAGTAAATAACGTACCACATCATAAGGACAATCGCCTTAAAACAAAGTTATTCTTCACGATTGATCCTTATATTGACATTTCAGTTATTTCTCGTACATTTAACAACATCTTGACTTTTAAAAAAATTTTACTTGACGTTCGTTTTATATTTCCTAGCTTCGAATATATATTATATATTAATATTTATTATCTTATTATCGCGATTATACGTTGTCACTTATTGTTAATAAATAAAATCGATCTATAATAAAGAATAATTTAATCACAGCTCGTTCACTATTATTATCATCATTCAAAAACACTTGTCACAAATCCCCTTGCACGTTTTAAATTATCAATCATGTAATAATAAAGTAGATATTTTAACGATCAAATTCACACAATTTGATTTTTTTTTATCAAATCAGAAGAAAATTTTAGCGTAAGTTTCAGATAGGAAGTGTAATGGGCTACGAGTTGCAAGCGACTGAACCTTAGTACTAACAACACAACGAAGATATCCATACCTGCAGTTCACACGTATACCAACATCATCTTCCGGTATTCGTAAGTAAATGTGTGAGTGAGTGTATGTGTACGTAGGTGGATCGCGTGTTTTCTCATACACAGATATATGTATGTTGATACGTCTGTGTGATACTTCTTCCGAGAACAGATTTGAAGGGTCGCTTCAGGTATAGGACCACGAAGGGATGCTGCTGCAGTCTACCTTCGTACATATATACATATATATATATATATATCTTTCTCTCTCTCTCTATTTCTAACTCTATCTCTCTTTCTCTTTTATTTTTTTTTTCGTTCACACACATTTTTCTTTTTTCTTCTTCTCTTACTTTTTTTTTCTTCCTCCTTCTCTTTCAAACTTCGAAAGATGCGGGTGCAGAAGCATCGTTTATTCCCTTCTTCGTCGGTCTCTACAAAAGGTACCCATTTATCCTTTGTAGTGACATCTCGGTGTCCCTTTTCTCATCCCCCTTTTTTCACTTTTAATCGGCCGATTTTTTATTCGAAAACATTCTCAGTTATTCTAGGTAATCGGTACAAGATTGGATTTATTTTTGGTTTGCACGTTATCATAGGTGTCGACATTTTTCTTTCGATTTATTTTCTATCACATTGATTTATTGTGTGTTAAAAGTTTCAGAGAATAACAGAAAGAGAGAGAAACAAATAATGTATTATATTATAAATTATTATATATATACATACTAGGATGCTCCGGCCACACGTTGCTGTGGCTTTGTTATAAAAAATGTTGATTTATTATAATTTTAAACTATTTAGTAAATTATAACAACACACAAAATAATACCATAATTACAATGCAATCCATAAAATAATAATACAAGAAAAAATATAAAAAGTAAGGTTAGTTATGTCATATATCAAAATAAATGAATTGTAATACAGTACCATCTATTTGAAACTTACAGAATCTAGAGATCTAGATAACCTATAAATAATAAATTCTTAAATTAGCAATAAAAAATAAAATATAATCGAGATAAAAATTATTCTAAGTTGGAAAAAATTACACAAAATAAAAAAAAATTTATAATATATATATATATATATATATATATATATATATATATATATATACTATACACATTATTATAATTTTTTACATTATAATGAATTTAAAATGGTTAAAATAAATGGAAAACAAATTATATGGTGTTAGTTCATATTCGAATTATAATTAAAATTTGGAGAAAGGTGGTATCAAAGGGGTGTGTTCAGCAGTGTAGAAAGTCGATGGACTCCAGGTAGGTCAACCGAAATAACATCTTTACTCGTGACTCGGCAAACAACCCTCTCTATCTCTTTCTCTCTCTTTCTCTATTTCTCTCATACTTCGGTGTGCGACAAATCCAAGAGGTCCCGGGATCATGATGAGAAACGAAAAACGCGAGGAAGCACGTCAAGTACGAGGTCAAAAAGCCTTTGACATTTTCTACTCTCAAATTGTGTCTGTGTGTACGTGTGTATGTATATGTGTGTCTCTTCCTTTCTTCCTTCTTCTTTCACTAGATGTTTATAAATGATGAATAATATTTTATATTTGTAATAATGCTTTTTTTCCTACTCACCAGTTCATAGTATACGTATTTTTTTGTTTAAATGGAATCAAAGTTAATTGTATGTATGTAATGTAATTTTAAAAGTACGCGAAATTTTATATTTACAAAGTAATTATTTAAAGTATAAAATTCAAAGAAATCTAAAATGTATAAAAAGGAAAATTATTAGGACAGCTAAAATTGGGTGTTAACTGTAACTTTTGATGATTTATTTTGCAAAGAAAAAAAAAAGAAACGTTTTTTCTACGTCAATAAATATTAATTATTATTAACATTCTTAATGCTAATCATCATTTATGAATACTCTGTTCATTAATAAGTTCGTACTACTTAGGAATTCCATTTTTTATTCCAACTAATTGAGTAACTCTATTAATATAATTATCAATAATTCAAATCAATTATTTTGATTGTATCTTTATATTTTCTATTTCTTTTCTTTTCTTTTTTCTGTATCGAAAAAGRTAATACAAAGATAGATAGAAAAGAGAAGTACTGTGAAATAAAAGCATGAAAATGGATGGTGGAAAGAAAGAATTTATTATTTTCTTTCTATGGTATTCGAAAAAGAAACAAATTCTGAGGAAGGTCTAGTTGAAAAACTCTTGTGAAAAATTCAAGTGAAGTATTTGAAATTTTACTCTTCTCTCTAATAATCTTTTTTTTCTTTTTTTACAAAATTCTATCGTGTCGTCTTTGACACGTGATTTTCTTTGTAAATAGGTGAGGTGTCTACTCACGTAGGGTGTAGACAAAAACGAAGGGTTGATCTTTATTACATAAATATACATACATATATACACAGGCCCGTACTCATACATATTACATTGTTAATGTATGTTCAAAGGGCTATTTTATGTAGGGCGTCTTTTATTGCCATACTTTTTTTGACCAATATAAACATTCTGATTTCTATTTGAATCGTAATAGTAAATTATTCGAGCGTAATATTTGAATGCTATTTTTTAATATTACTGATTGTTATCGAGTGTAATTGAGTGAAAATACTTAGAAATTTCGAATATTCGTTTTATTGAGAAAAAGAAAAAAGAAAATATGTTTAAAAAATAATTGATCATTACCTTTCGTGATCTCGATCGAGCAAAGCTGGAGTACTGGATGCTTTGATACGTCGTTGGGTTTTGTTGATTCCAGGTATTCGTCTTCGATCCTTTCTACCGTGACTGGCATACTGATCGTGAAGAGGCTACGAATAAATAAAAAAAAATATACACGTATATATATATATACATATTTTTTGGTATGGTTACATACTAGGTCAACAATTTTCAAACAGTTTTAGCCTGCATTTGTAATAATACATCAATACTGTATCAACATGACGTAATTTTGTACGTAAATATAAATGACCTATTTAAAATATCGACAATATTAACCCTAATCGGTCGTAAGTCACGTGGGAAGTGATTTATAAATAAAAATATTTTAATTATAATTAAATAATTAATAATTTCATATAGTTGTAGTACTCCTTTAAAAAAAAGTAAATCTTTTTCATTAATAATAAGTTATTCTTACAATATAATATAATATTAAACAATTTAATAATTAAAATAATATAATAAATAAACAAACAATTTTTTGTTGAATATTTATAGAAACCACTTATAACTTATGTTGGTGAAAATCATCAATATAAAAACCTGACGACCAATAAGGGTTAATATTAACATTGAATAAAATATATACATATAAGTATAAATGTTGACCTAATAAAATAAAAGTACTTTTCCTTGTTACAATATCTGATTTTGAATATAATATATTAATAAGAAAAAAGAAAAAAAATAAGAAATAAAGAAAAAAGAAAAAATAGGGGGGAAACAACTTGTGGAAGGTAATATGTACTCGAGAGAAAAGTCTTTTCTTATTTTCCGAACAAAGATGCTAGCGTAAGAATTCATTGTGAAACTCTGTTCTGCCTACATGGCCGAGTTCGACAACCTTATTCTCTTCTTCAACGAGTTTGGACCATATTTCATATCGCGGTTGGTCGAGGAGGGACGGTTGGAGAGGAGGGAGGGTGTGGTGATACCGTGGTACCCAGTGGTACCGGTGGTCGTGGTCTTGGGGTAGTGGTGGTGGTGGTAGTGGTGCTGGTTACGAGGAGAAGGGTGGTTTCTAAGCGAAGTCGAGGATCACTTGACTCGTCGAGCACACTGCCATTGTTCGAGTTAGGTGCAAAGCAAAGAAGCTTCAACGGACCGAAATATCTCGATGCCCGTTGTGTCGTATGCCTCTTAATTACGAGAACCGCCATTTTCTTTCTCACTCCACCTTTTTATTTCCTTTCTTATCTTAAAAAGTTTCATTTCTCTTTGTCTTATTTTTCTTTTACTCCCCTTCCCCACCCAACCCTTTTATTTTTATTTCTTCGTTCAAATTAATAGAAACAAAAAGATGATTGAAACAAAAACTATTTCTTTTTACGAAGTTTACACAATATTTGACAGAAAAATCTTGTCGATAGTCGTTTAAAATAAATCATGAAAAATAAATCAAATAAAGGAGAATAATATTTTCTAAAAATATACTTGGTGACTAGGAGTGGGTACGAATGATGAAATATCGGTCAAAGTTCACCGATCTAAACGAAGATAGATAGACGAATATTTAATTTTTATCTGTCATTAATCTTTCAAACAGAGAGGGAAAAGTGGGGAAAGAACGATAAAAAGTTCGTGTCCTACATAAAGATTATTTTTTGAAAAATTTAATATGAATCTTTATAAAACTCATATAAAAGTAATACACGTTCATTTCAATGTTGCTTATAATAAATTAATCACAATTGTGTGTAATATTATATTTTCTTCGTTTCGAATGTTAAATACCTATAAAATCGTTGACTGTCATTCGTTACTAGTATGTGTGTGTGTATACGTGTATCCGTGCTTCGAAATGTTTCATATACCTCTATTTGCTATTAACACACATCACACACATTATGTTCCACCCTCTGAATAGGAACGAATACAACGTTAGCATAGTTGAAAACGATTCACACGTATCATCCGAGGAGTGTCGACGTTGTGACGACAGCTCGTTACTGTGTTTCTCCTTCCTATATACCTATTGTCTATACAGGTTGGTTCACATTAAGTATTACAATCTGTTTTCTCAGTAATTGTAATAATAAAGATATTTATTTCATATATTTTAATTAATTAAATGGAACATTACTGTGGTTATATTTGTTAGCGTTTAACATATTTTTTTTAAGTGACTTTTAACACGGACATATAAAATTCTTTTTAATGTTTTATTATTAAATTTTTTCCATACATTTTTGTTGTTTTTACTAGTATTATTATTATATTTTTTCTCGTGTTATTTTTACTGTTATAATTATTTGAATATTTTGATTAGTTTCTGAACAAAGTTTGTAACATTTTATTTGATCCACTTTGTACATACACGTCATGATTTCTTTCTATGTATTATATATATATATATATGAATCTTCAAACGTCAAAGTTCCTATCGAAGAAAAAAATTGGATATTCCAACGTAATTAAAGAGGTCAAAGTCTTGACTTTGAAAAAAATGTTAACTTCCCCCATCCCTTCTTTTTTCTTTGACATGAATCTATGAAGGGGTTTCCTACAAAAGTTACAAAAGCTTCTTCTTCCCCTTCATGAGAAAGAAATTTTTGGCAGGATACCAAAAGTCTAGATGGTCGTCGACGGTATAATTTCCTCGAAATTACCTAGGACTAGTTGCTATCCAACTTTTTCGTATATTTTTCCTGGCTCACTTCCGCGTTCGACCTTTTTTTTATTTTTTATGTTAAACGAAAATATTTTTTTTTCCTTTCTTCTTTTTCTTTTTCCTACTACTTTTAAACTAAAAGCTACGATCAATCAAATATAACTCATTTTATAATAATTGATTAAAAATCAAAGGTACGTTTAATTAATTCCCTCCTTTGCATTGAAATTTTGATTGAAGAATTAATTTATTTTAGACATGAATCTAAATAATATTGATCTCAATGAAATTGCAATTAGTTGAAATTATATTTGTTACGTTAGAATTCAAGAAGAGACATATGTACGAGATTGAAGATGGAAGATTAGTATGTTGAGGTTTTGCTTAATTAAATTTAGGAATGCTTCACATAACTTCTCTCTCTCTCTCTCTCTCTTTCTCTTTCTCTCTTTGTGTCGCGCAGTAGTAAGTTTGTAGATTTATCAGACACAAGGCTTATAGGAAATGCACAGTAAATATATATGTATGATAAGTAGAGTTGAAATTGTATTTCCCTAAATATATGTATTAGTTTAAATCTTGTACTAACTACTATTCGAAGATTCTCATTAGGATTAATTGTTTTGAAAAGGGGAAGATTAAATACTTAAGAGTAGAAATTAATTGATTCTAAGTGTTAATTTTCTAATTAAAATAAATCCTTTTTCAAGTGATCTAACATGATTGATTTTTTGTCATGAAATACAATGAAATTTAATTCAATACAAAAAGAGGTAGTAATTAATCATTTATTTAAGTAATTATTTGTAAGTCATCCCTTATACAGGGTGTCCCATGTAAATACTTGTGATAATCTGACAAAAAAACACTTTAAACGAAAGTTGATCGGTTTTTGATTGACTATAAATTGCAATAAAAAAAAGTTTCAAAAAATTAGTTTTTTAAAAGGTATCCTATATTTTTGATTTACAATATTTTAGCTCGTATTAATACGAATTCAATGAATTAGTATACCATGACCTTTGGTATATACATATGTATATACATTATAATAATAATTTGTGTTTTATATAAATAATTTTTGATAAATTATGTATATGCAGCGTGAAACATATAACTTGATTATTATCTCTTTTTAATTGTATAATAAACCAATAATTATACAGTATCAGGAAAGGGTTGTATAATGTGATGTATGATTTTTTTATAAGCAGAAATGTTTATAAAAGGTTTGAAAGCCAATTATATTGGTTTTTTTTTTTTTTTAATAGAATGCCCTACTTTTTTAATAGCAGTTCGAAAGAGTATTAATTTGCAAATAAAAGAAGTATTAAATAACGTTTGCCCTGAAAGTTAATTATTAACGAACGTTTTATCCGCATAAGATAGCATTGAAAGATTAAATATATATAATTTATTTATACAATTAATTTCTCGTTTACTCTCATATCGATTGATTCGATTGTATTATTTATTCTAACCTATCATTTATTAAATGCATTCTGTAACGTTATCGTCCTTCCCCTCCCTCCCGATTATTTATTAAAAAATTAAATTCAATCGTTTATAATATATTAGTATGACGTAGGTTACTGATAATATTTTATACAAAAATCGTTATAAAAAAAATCACTCAAGTTAGTGGATACAATCAAAAGTATATATATACAGTTAAAGTTTCAAAGAGTGACTCGCGAAAGTTTCTCTCGAAATACGAGTAATGTATGTTTGTTCACTACTTTTGCAAACAAACATCGTTCGCTATGTTCGTAATTATTCGCGTAGGTACGTAATTACATCATACCTACATAGTTCACAACGTACTATTTTATCATTTGAAAACAATTCTTGCTTGCGAGATCTCGTTGCCGTTGAAAATCGAAAGAAAATAAAAGAGAAGATAATAACAAAGAAAAAAAAAACAAAAAATAATTCTACCAAAAAATGAGGAAAAAAAAAAGATTGTAAATCGTGGAAAGGGATAATATTAAAAAAAAAAACAAACAAATAAAAAGAAAAGAAAAACCAGTTTTATCAACTCGTTTTTAGTACTCGAGACGATTAAAAAAACGAGACGATTCGTTTCTGTTATCGATTTCAATCATATTCTCGTCTCGTCTCGTATTCTTTTCGAAAGATAAATTTTCGATTGATCGAACTCGTCAAGCTGAACGATGAAAAAGTCGTGAAATTAAAAAATACTCACGGAAACGGGAGCAGTGTGAGGCGTGGCAACATCCTGTGTGGAATGAGCACCGCTTGGTTTTGGGCTTGATCGTTGAGAATCCTGTCCACGTTGCCATGATCCTGATTTGCTGCTCGTTGCATTATTGCTTTAACAATATAAACAAAATGGACTTTCGTTATTATTTTCATTCATTTATCTGAACGATCATTTTTTTTATTATATTATTCTGTAACTCTTTGCGGCATAGAATTTCAGATAATAAAATAGTCCTATGTTGCATAAAAATTTGATTACGTTTTAAATTAAACAAAATTGGTATATTTTTTATTAATAAAGATATTACATAATGTAATAATGTAAAAACATTTAAAAAAGAGTTAATAACCAATTGTTTTGCGTAAATAAGACGAAATACAAATTTATGAGCATGTTTAGCTTTTGCAATAATATTTCGAGGTGGGACTAAAAATGTCCCACCGTACATTATGGTGTATCAAAATGGTGGGACACTTTTAATCCCATTATGCCCCAAAGAGATAATCAATTAAGAAAAATGTAACATTTTAATTATAATCATTTTATATTGGTAATTATGTGATTAATATATAATAATTTTTAATAATTTTATTTCTAATTTTAATAAAATTAATAATTTTCAATATTTTTCATAAGTATTTTAAAAAAATATTTAGTATTTATAATATTACAAAATATGGATATGTGTAATATTAATGTTTTTGTATATTTTTATAAACACATTTGTAATAAATAATAATTTATTAATATTTACAGTAATATGTAACACATTAAAAGAAGAAGCATAAAAATAATCTTTGAAATAAGATAACAATAAATATATTTGAATATCGTATTGAAATTCAATCAATCAACAATTTTCAAACATATTTTTATTATTTATCGAGAAATTCCGTGCTCGTTTGTACAAATAAGTTATAGAAAATTTCCTGTATAGTGATTATTTTATAAAATACTTTAACCGACGACTAATAGCTTAAACAAGATACTGAGAAATGACATTATGATTTATTAATAAATCGTGTAACTTCTAATGATAAATGATAAATTCATTTACAATGACGAATTTGTAGGAACAAAGTTTAACGTATCTTGTTATTGTTAATTAACGAATAGCAAAATTATCATTAAGAGAAGACGTATTGTAGCTTTAGCAATACAAATCGTTTATCCTTACCGAATCGTGTCTCAACCCTATTAAATTAGAGCAATGTTAACTGTTGTTTGAGTAATGAGACGTTATCGAAACGACGTATCAGAAACTTTCATAAATAAAAAAAAGAGGAAGAACAATCAGTAATTCCTCACCCTAAAACCTACAAAGAAATTTACCATTTCCAAATTATAAAGGGACAAAAATAAAATCAAATTAAAAAAAATAATAGCTGATAAAAAAATTCATATTATTTTCTAGAACACTATTTATATAATAAATTGCTATTTATTGATTCAAGGTGTTTGATATTGTATTTTTAAACAATTGTTTAAAATAGATTATCAGTATTTATAATAACGCAAATACCTTGACGCAAATCCTTGATGCAAATAATGATGCAACCTTGTTATTATTAATATTTGTAATACTGATCATCATTCAAAATACTGGTTTTAACTTGTTTTATTAAATATTCTTCATTGTTGTATAAATAAAAATATCTTTTTTATTCTTTTTTTATTTTCATAAATTTCTCACCAATATTTTTAGAAAGATCATTGAGATCAACAATTTGTGATGATCCAAAAAACGAATGATATTATTTTATGAATAATTTGTATGTAATCTTTACAATTGTGGTTTTGAAATGGATTAATGTTTTTGATCGTTTTACAGTAACTACGCAGGAAGTGGAATAAAATCGATAATCTTTGTAGTAACTGGCTCGTGACCCAGGCCACCACTTCAGACAGCTCGTCCTTCACTCGAGCTTCCCTTTCCTTCTCACGCAAGCCGCATAAAAAATGCATCATTATCGACCAGTATATTACTCTTTACTGTCTATGAGGCAAAAAATTGAAAGTCATTTTTGTCGTAATTTTTAACACTTCATTTTAAAGTCATATTATACGTGTAAGTATCTATTGGTTATCAAGACTCCTGTTTCTTTTTTTTTCGCGAAGAAATTTTACACGCTATGAGGATTTTAAAAGTAATTTCTGTGTTTTTTTTTTATATTTAATAATWATTATTATTACAATCGATATAGTTATTTTTTCTCGTTACTTTTCACAAGAGAAATATATTTTAAAAGCATACAAATTGTATTTTAACATTTATCGTGACAAGTATTTTAATATGTGCAACAACGTTCATTGAATTTCTTCTATTTGAGAGAATGTCAAATGGAATTAGAAAAAAAAAAGAAAAAAATATTCCGTGCATTGGATCATATTGACAAGTCATGCCAATACGAACGAAAGCACATACACATGCATAAATATGGTAGTAGATTGGTGATATGTATGTACATCCGGAAATATCCGATGTTTTCCTGCAACTTGCCGTAGAATCTGAACGTTATTGACTTGGGTTAACACCACAGGGGGAGGGTTGGGAGTACTCTGCAAATATTTAACTGTTACCACCTGCTATGTGAATCCCTATATTTTCTAGTTCTATGTATAATACAATCAATGGGGTCTACCTACCTACAACGCCAATTTTCTTTTGTAATGATATAGAAAAATACAAAAAAAAAAAAAAAAAACCAGAGAAGAATTGTGTTAGTGGTCTTCAAGTGTAATTCAAGTGAAACTCGTAGTATTATGTATAAAATAATCAATTAATTCATATATACAATGAGTGTCGTTTAAATTCGTACACCATTATGTTTGACAATTATTGATACAGTGTATTTAAGATGAAGAAAATTTAAAAAGAAATATATTAGTATAAGTACCCCTTTATTACATATTTAATGAGTTTATAACCTGAAAACTTTATTTATAACAAGTGAAAATTAAATAAATACGAAAATAATTTACAGGAAATGCCCGTACCTAACCTTTAACACTAGATATACCTCCATTTTCAGTATACCTATTTCTACCACACCAGTCAAAATGACTGGTGTATACAAAAAATGCTTTTTGAGGCTTCCAGTTATTATTTACTCTTAAAAAATAACTAAAAAATGTTTAACAATAATAATTTTAATTGATTAATGGATTTATAGACATTTTTAAATAACAAAACGCTTTATTATTTACAGAAATCAAATGTTACATGAAGTAGACATTTTGAATTAAAATGGCCGACCAGTCAAAATGACTGGTCTGGTATATCTAGTGTTAAATCGTTGATATAACTGGGAAGAATTAGTCTTATTAAAGTAAGAATAATACAAAGTACATTTGTTTAAATATGACATATTTGTTAATATACTAAATTAAACAATCTCGATTTAATATTTAATTAGATGAAAATTTCCAATTCAAAATCACAACTAATTATTATAAATAGGAATGTTACAATAAGCGCATTTCAGTTAAAACAATCTAAAGTATGAGTAAAGTACATTAGAATGTTTGATATAGATTAAATGAATGTTAATTAATCGAAGAAAATGTATATTGTAATCTAAAAATATGGAGAATAAGTTAGACGTACCTTTCCTCTTCGAAATTCACAGTCAGACTGGCTCATTGTCCTCTATGAAAGTTATTTTATTGATTGTTGTTTATATGACTTTTGGAAGGCTATATATGTATGTATAACGAAAATAATATTTACAATGAATACAGTTTATTCATTTGAAAATCATACAAACAATAATCAATAAAAGAATATTAATTGACTTTTATAAATGACAATGGGTCAGAGCTTAACCGTAAATTTCGTAGAAAATGGTGCATCGAATTTATACTACCTGTTTTTTAATTACAACATACATTTCTTTCGGTAATTAACAACCATTTAAGGTATATTAACATACTTTTTCACATTTTCATTCATCTTTTCATAAATAAACGTATCTGATAATAACAATCGATTAACGTATGTTAACATATACACACACACACACATACATCATACCACATGAACAATAAAACCTTCTATAATTTTGTTCAATTGTCGATTCACTGTTGGTTCTATCTCATTGTCTAACTCACTTTCTCTCTTTCTCTTTTTATATCATTTCATAAAAGCTTCATCGTTAATTGTTGCCTATACAATTTTCATTTCCAAAAGAAACAAATATTTAACATACAATATATAATAATTTTGTTGAAGTATTATTTTTAAATATTAAAATGTATATATTCATTTTTGTTTATTAACAATAACATTTAGATTTTTTATTTTTTTTTCTACGGTTTTTCTGTAATCTTTCAAACTTTATTTTGATTTTTGACAAAGTATAAGTAAATGAATTTAATGTTTTAAGAAGGTATTACTCAATTCGCGTGTCATAATTTGAGTAGAACTATTTTCTATCGAATGAAAGAATACAAAGATATATATATAAATAAAATAGCTAATGTGTAATTTATTTACTTGTTGGCGTAACACGGTTTCATGTCCCACGTCTTTGAATCTGTCATATTGTAAGCAAACATTTGCCTCGTTTGCGTTTAATAGCGATCTAGGATTACTCTTTGAACGGCTGATTATCACGTCTAGGCTTGATCATTATCTTTAATCGTTGGGATATGAGACAAGCTGCTAGTTCGGTTTACCATTCCGACTATACTACTATACTACGTAACACACGTTAAACTACTAGTTCTATTCAAGAAGGACTTTCTCAAATAAAACTTAATAATATTCTATATGTTATATGTATGTGTGATTCAAAAGGTATAACACACACACACACTTTTTATAAATATCCAATTTAAATTCAGGATTTAAGAAAGCACGAATCTTAAATCTTGATTATTTATTTATCTGGTACATACCTTATTCGGCAGAAGAGATTATCAAGAAATTTTATTTTAATAAGAAATTACCTTTCATTTCTGACATATTTTCTTTTTTTTTTATTGGGAGAAAAAGAAAATAAAAAGCAAGAATAAAAAAAAAATGTAATAAAGTATTAAGATTTATTCGGTGGGTGTTTGTAAAAAAAAAAAAAGAAATAAATTCTCTGATCATCGTACTTTAATTAG